GATGGGAGATCTTTCCATGCCTATTCCCATTCTTCTAAATACACCTGTGGTGGGTTGTGACCCAGGAGTAAATTGCCACACTGGTGATGATTGAGTGGCAGATATGGTGGATGAGTCCAGACTATTAAGCTCCGTGGATGGATTTACTGAAGGAGCTTCAGCTAATGAGTTAATAGCCTGGGCTGCAGCCTGATGTTGAACCGGTTGTTGCTGATGTGGGAGTCCCAGGAGAGCAGGGTTCGAACAAAGGTCAAGGATATCCTCTGCTGGCTCCGGTGGTGGGGGCGCCCCGGGCAATGCTGGATACATCGGAGCGGTGGCCGGCGTGTAATTTGGGGGAGCAGCCAATTTCTCCCGAACAGCTTGTAACTGCTGTTTTAATTTTTCTTGAGAGTCTTTTAGGCTCCTAGTTTGAGATTCTGTCCGCCTTTTGGACATTTCATCATACCAATAAAAGAACGCGTCCCACTGGTTTTGTGGTGTTTTGGATCCACGGGACTCTAAAGCCCCTCTTAAGTGCACTATTTTATCCTGATCAAATGTTCCTTCTTGTGGAAAATGCTTCACAGGATCATCCCTAGTATACCAGTTCCACTTATCCAGGTACTTGCAAGCCTCGGGAGAATAGTGTGTGTACATAAAGTACGCCGGAGTCCCCTTAGGGGGGACGGGAACTTGTTTAGACTGACTCGTTCCCATTTTCAGTCACACAGGGAGACGTAGGAGAGGCTTATTTAGGATGTCCGGGCCGCTCAGTGCCTTGCCCCGCAGTTTTTCACTGCCCAGACAAAAGGCTTCTGACCCGACACCGGCTCATAAAATGGAAATGGGAATGGGAAACACAAGAGGAATCCTTTCACTCCTGCTCTCGGCAGAAGCTACTGGGACAAGGGGTTTGGAAAAGACAAAATCACTCAGACGCCCTGTCCACTGGGTCACGAGGTTTCAGCTGGGCCCCCTTGCTTTCGACGCTACCTTTTTTAGGCAGAATCGGGGCGGCTAGACCCAGCCTTAGTCCCAGACCTGGTCAGTGGCTCATTTTTCTAAATGCACACACACACATTTATTCAATCACTGGGAAGCCCTGTCCACTGGGTCACGAGGTTCCAGTTGGGCCCCCTTGCTTTCAAAACTGCCCTGTCAGGCAGAATTGGGGCGGCTGAACCCAACCGTAGTCTCAGACCTGGTCAGTGGCTCATATTTCTAAATACACACACATGCACATTCATTCAGTCAGCCAGACCTCCTCCCCCACACCGCCTTAGTTAATTAACGACAAGCCCGATGTGCTGTAGGATGAAGGTGCTTCATACAGTTTCTCCCTAAATAAAACGTACGTTACCAGACACAAAATGGGATCCTTTACCAGACAGAAAATTTTAGCCGGCAGTAAGGTTCAGACTGACCTGTTTTAACAAGGTTCAGATCCAGTTACCACGGCCAAGTTGGGAGCCTACAGGCAGTCCTCCTCCGAAACCCCAATAGAGATTTTGAATTAGGTCTCTTACCTCTCAAGTTTGGCGCCTCGGGGTTCGGGGGGGGCAGTCTGCGGTCCTCCTTTCTCAGCCTGTGGTCTGGATCCGAGTCACGGCACCAGGAATTGTCGTGGAAACACACGCAGCATACTTTTGGGTCAGGTCAGCAGAAGCTTTTATTTAAAAGAAACTACAGCTGTAGGGGGGGATTCCAAAGTGACATGGATTTCCCATGCACTTGGAAGGGGTCCCCCCCCAAGAGCAAAATCAGGAGGCTTATATACTTTTTAACAGTTGTTTACAACTCACGTGATCATATAGTGAAATTAGCATGAAAAGCGGCTATAATGTTACTTTATTATTTCTTTGTTGTAATCAGGATGGGAACTAATTGGGGAGGCGAGGTTAGTTTACAAACCTCCTTCTTGCACCTGTAAATCAGAGTTGTATATATTTTTTGCTATCTTCAAGGCCGCGGTGAGCGAAGCAGTTGCAGAGGAGTTACAAAGAACAAACACTTTCTCTTATCTGTTCTACTATACAGAGCCAGCAATTCTCCACAAAGCGGTTATGTCATCTTATAACTAAAATAGTCAAAATTTAAGGCATATATTTTTTCTGATTCCACACTGGAATGGGCGGCTCCCTCTCTGGCAACTGGTGGCCAGGACCAGCAGGGCTGGCATGGGGTCCTGGTTCTGCTGCAGGCAGTGCCAGCTTCATGAAGCCAAGGTGAACAGCAGATCTGGGCCCAGGTGGGGGACCCGGGGAGGGAGCCAGGGCCATGGAGGTGTCTGCTGCTGGGCAGCAGGAGGCTGTCACAGGGCAGGCTGGGCTAGGCAGTGGGCAGTGCAAAGCACAAAGGTGAGTGCCAAGGCCAGGATGGTGTCTAGCACCTGGTGGTCCTCTTTCATAGCTTCCACTTCTCTGGCTATGAGTGCGCCCTGCTCCTGCAGGGCCTCCATGTGCTCCCACTCCAGGGCCAGGAGCTGTTGTCTGAATTCCTGGTCCCACATTTCATAGATTTCATAGACATCAGGGCTGGAAGGGACCTCGGAAGATCATCGAGTCCAGCCCCCTGCCCAAAGGGCAGGAAGTCAGCTGGGGTCATAGGATCCCAGCAAGATAAGCATCCAGTTTCATCTTGAAGGTGTTCAATGAAGGCGCTTGAACCACCTCTGGTGGCAGGCTGTTCCAGACCTTGGGGGCTCGGACAGTAAAGAAATTCTTCCTTATGTCCAGCCTGAAACGATCTTGAAGTAGTTTGTGACCATTCGACCTCGTCATCCCTTGGGGCGCTCTGGTGAACAAACGTTCCCCCAGATGCTGGTGGTCACCCTTGATAAACTTGTAGGTGGCCATCAGATCACCCCTGAGCCTGCGCTTTTTCAGGCTAAAGAGCCCCAGGGCTCTCAGCCTGTCATCGTAGGGTCTGTTTCCCTGACCTCTGATCATGCGCGTGGCTCTTCTCTGGACTCTCTCAAGCTTCTCCACATCCTTTTTGAATTGTGGAGCCCAAAACTGGACACAGTACTCCAGCTGCGGCCTCACTAAGGCTGAGTACAGGGGGAGAATGACGTCCCGGGATTTGCTTGAGAAGCATCTATGGATGCAAGCCAGCGTTGGCAGTCATGTTCTTTGCCCACCGTGCATCCTGGCAGGCAATGTCCTCCACCCACCACATCTGTTCATCTGCCATACAGTCCTTTGTGGCCATTACCAACCAGATCAGGAGAAGGGTCTGGAGCCAGGGAGGGCCCTCCCCACAGTGCAGGGCTTACCATGTAGGTGGGGCTGGTGTGCCTGGTGGCTTTGGTTGGTTCTAGCCGGCGGCGATGGCTTGTGGCTCCTGGTGGACTTATTGGGTGGTAGGGCACAGTGTGCGGGTGCCCAGGCAGGGCCCACTCCTGGGGAGGAGCTGGCGCTGCTGGTAGTTGGCGGTGACATGGTTGGCTGTGCCTCATGGCTGGGGCTGAGATTGTGCAGCTGTCAGGGCAGGCACTGGCCTGGGCTCCCCGAGCTGCTGGTGGAGGCTGGGAGCAGGGAGCTCGGTGGGATGGGCTGCTGGTGCCCTGAGGGGCCTTCCCCCAGCAACACTTCACTGAGGTAGTGGTAGGGCTGACTGGGAGCAAATTTGCTCCTGGTTAGCTTCTACATATGTGCTACTGTGCAGTTACTACTTATGAGTAAATTTGCTACTTGAATTTGCAGGTAGCAAATTTTCTCACAAGTAGCAAAGTTTACTGTGCAGTAAGCACGTGCACATGTAGACGTCAACGCTTACTGTGCAGTAAATTACACTGCTTCACATAAAGTGTCTCATGTAGGCTCACCCTGTGAGTTGTTATTTGTGCTATGGATGTACCCAGTGTTCCCACTACATCCCTTGTGCCAGAAGAGATCACCTTGCTGCTAAGAGCCCTTGATCAAAACAGGAAGAAGTGTGGAGGATAAGGGTTATTATCTGTCCCTATTCCATGAATGCACAGGCAGGCTAGAGACACAAGCAGGTGCAGTGAGGTGCTCAAGGCCACCAGAAGAGTTTGTAATAGAGTCAAGACCTGAACCAAGGTGTCTTAAGACTCAGTCCAGTGTCATAGGCCAGGACTAGGAGTGTAAAGACCCCTCCTTCCACAGAAATGTATAATTATGCTTCCAGGCACAGAAAGCCTCATCAGATGAAGGATTCCACTGAGTTTTGGATGCTTTAAGACTGTTAGTATTGGGGTTTTCTCAATACAGCAGGGACCAGTCATGGGAGACCTTGGCCACCCTGCACTCCATGTCTGATGGGGTGTGGTAATTAGTCTGTAAAGTGACATGAAAATTAAGTCCCAAATTTGTTTCCGAGCTCTAGCAGCCCCTAGTAGCATCAGCTCAAACTGCACTGGATCCACCTCCCACGCCAACCCCCTGATCCAGCTCGTGCCCACCTGTGCACTAGGAGGGGCAATAAAGAATGTATCCTCTCCTAGACTCAGAGCACCTTCCAGCCCCTTGAGTGCTAGACAGCTGGATGAGGACATGTAAGAATATGTAGATCACTGGAGCCAGGGAGCATCCAATGGGCCCTGGGCTGGTGAGCTGAGAAACTATGTAGCTCAAACCAGAAGCAACTGGCAAGACACTGCACATGTCCTGTTCATGATGAATGGGGCCTTCTGTAGTACAGGGCCATATGGCAAATCTACAACTGTCCTGTGCTTGTTGGATTGTGTTGTGTCAGAAACTAACCCCAGCCACAGAATATGGCTGAGAGGCACTGGCAGAGGCCACTGGGGTGCAGCAAGACAGGAATAAAAAAGGTAAAGCTACAAGTTGGGACTGAAGGGCATAGACAGAACTGTGCATGCATGGAGCCTGGGCTGAAATAACAGAGGAGGATCAATTAAGAAATAATCCTCACACTGGAAGACAAGGACGTGTATCCCATACTTCATCAGTAGAGTGCAGGCAGGGACCATATGCAATCTGTTAGAGACCAAAGAGGCATGCCAATGATTTTATACTGCTTTATTCTGTTGCTGTCATTGTTACAGGAGGAAAGGGTGAGTCAGGAGTGTAGAAAAGCTTGGGGACATTGAACTAGCAATAAGGTGCAGGATAGCCTGACTGATAGACTGTGTTGAGGCTCCAGAGAAGTGGAAACTGTACAGGGTCAATACTCTGGCACTTTTCCAAAGGAAAGAATTGTGTGCTCAGGCTATGGGAGCCAGGCCTATCTGGTTGTTAGCTCTGTCGAAGACAGCGTAGTACAGGCGGATGAAGACATCGCCAAGGATCCAGAGCTCTCCAGAATTGGTGGGGATGTCAATACCTTCAAAGCCACTTGCGCAACTGCCTTGTGACTGCATCAGAAAAAATGCAAGGTGAGCATCGAGCTTGAGATCCACCAACCCCCTGATTTAGCACTCCAGGTGAACTGTATGTGTCTGCACTTGTGCTGTCTCATAAGACATCCATTGGGACTGGGCAATGGCATGGATGGGGGATGTCTAAGGTGAGGCTGGAGGGTGAAGACAATGGTGCTGGTCGGTACAGCCTTTCCTCACCCAACCAGATAGTGTTCCTGGGAGCTGTTACAATAGTTCCATTCTTTCATTACAGTGGGGAGAATGCTTTTATTATGGAGAAGGCATCTCCAGCCTTTCCCAATACACACTTGTGGAGCACAAGGGGGTGACAATGCTTAATCTAGTTTTCCTTGGTGATATCATGAGAAAAGAAGCTCTAGGGGCTGACTCTGTCAGCTTCTTTGACATCACCTTCATTCTGGGCTCCCTTGCTTCTGACCCTTTCTCCTTACAAACCCTGCTGTGGGAAAGGCCCAGTGCATCCCTGGCACTTAGGGCAGACCCTGAACTGTATCTCAGTGCTGCTCCTGAAGCCCTATGATCTATATTTCCAGGGGGCAGGTACCTGTGTGCTCAGCACAACCATCTGAAGCACAAACCCTCATGAGGAAACCGCAAGGTGGCTTTCTGCATAGGAAACTCACCTCAATGATGTAGGCACTGGCAGGCACAGAGAACTCAATGCCATTGATGGTGAAGATGATGCTGGGCAGGCTGTCAATGGCACTGCAGCTAATGACGTACTGCAGGGAGGAAGACAATGAACAGAGAAAAGGATCAGTCAATAAAATCCCCTGTGAGTGCCATCAGGCCGAGGGAGGAGGCACAAGGCTAGAAATAGGGTGTGGGTGAGATAGAAGGATCATGGATAATGACCAGATGAAATCACTTCTAAGGAGTGATCCTGGCACCAGAGTCTAAAACCCTCTGTGGCCAGAGCTAATGGACTGGCTTTGTCAGCTCAGAGACAGGAGACTTGTGAGCCACTGACCATGACCTGGCTTTCATCAGAGATGCAGAAGCTTGTCCTGTGCTCACATGGGTGACTCACACAGGATGCTGGAAATGTCAGAGTAAGTGATGAAGGGATGGCATCCTGTGGTCAGGTGCACAGGGAAGCAAATTCCCATAGATCCAGGGGGCTCAGTTACATCTGTGCATAGCAGAGCCCTCTGTCTATATCCACCCCTCCCCACTGCACTAACCTGGCCATTGGAGTCCTGGGTGGCACCGATGGCACTCTGGATGTTAGAAATGGCACTAGGGGGCCCAGCCAGCAGAGAGGTGCCAGTGTCAATAATAGCCTGGCAGCCAGAGGTACAAGCGACGGCCTGGCCGCCCATGGTGATGCTGCAAGAAAAGAAGTCAGGTGAACACCCCCCACAAGACTTCTGATCTCATGCCCCCTCAGCCTTTAATGAGTCCAGTTGGAGGGAGCTGTCTCTTGGCTCTGTCTGCCAAGAACTTTCTCTTGCTTTCTCATCCTAGACTTCTTGCTTTGCTTTTGGCTCTTGCTCCTTGTCCTTCCACATTCTGAGACTGGAAAGGGGTTGCAAGCAGGTGTAGGTGGATTCTGTAACTAGCCTGGACTCTGTCTATTGCTACAGAAATTTTGGCAAATCAGAGTGGGCTCCTTGCGTGAACGAGGTTTGGGTCACTGGCCTACCCTTCTAGCTGGACAGCCTTCTGCCCAGAGACCTTTGCTGCTATGCTTTTTCTGTCTCTCCCCTTGTTTGAGCTCCATACATGGAGCTCCCTCTGTCTCCCAGAAGCAACTCATGCCTATTTACTTGTTGTTTCCAAAAACCCCATGGGACTCAGTGAGTGGGAAGGACCAAGTGGTGGGAGTTACCTGTCCACAGTGATTTGCCAATAGGTTTCAGCAGACAAAGGAATCCAGTTCAGGCTCCCAGAGTAGCAAGATTGGTGGATGCCTCCGAACATGACAAAGCTCCCTTCCTCGTCATTACTAGAGAAAGGTTAGGGGAGAGTCATGCAGTTAAGGGAGGGTCTGGTTACAGAGACAATGGCAAATCCCTGGCCTGTTAAAGAAGAACCAGGGCAGTGGAGTGCTGCAACAAAGTCAGAATAGGGCACTTGACAGTGGAGTTGAGCACATCATCATCTCATGTGGAAACAGGGCATGATGGTAGGGGACAGGGGTGCTGCAGTTGAGGATACATTCTTGCTTTGAGTCATAAAGGAGTAGAGCTAGTAGAGACCGCAAAAGGTCACCTAGTCCACTCCCCTGCCCGAGGCAGGATCATCTGTATTCAAACCATTCTATACAATCCACAATTAAACTCTATATATGATGACTGCCAACCTTGGCACAACACAGACCTAACACCCTAACCTGCCATGGTTAAAGGAGGGAAATCATGGCAGCCAAAGTCTTGTTTCTATAAAATGTTGTCGTTATGCACTCAAGAGGTCCCAGGCAGAGGGCCACAACCTCACTATAGAGCAGGACAATAACCCCCACAGTTTTTACAAATCTGAGTATGGGGTAAAATTTCTTCCTGACCCCAGATATGGCTATCAATCTGCCTCTGAGCAGACAGGCAAGACCCTTTAGCCAAGAATCTGCAGCTTTGCTCCTAGTAGGAACACTAATGTTGCCCTAAAGTGAGATCTTTCCAGATCTCAAGAGAAAAAATTGTTGGGCCCCACCACTAATTGAATGGAAGACATGCAGGCCCAACTTTTACAGCCTGTGGTGCTGGTGATATAGTATGTGATCTCCCTCAAAGTTAATCCTGAGCGGATGGCTAAGTTTGGTGTTAACCGCTACAGAGATGCTGGGTTTGATATGGGAGTACTTCTGCCTCTCAGAGTCAGTATGTCAGTGACTTAGGATAGCATCAAGCAAGCCTGTGAGGCTTTTCTTTACTGTGGTCACATAAAAGAAATAGACCATGATGCTCTGAATTAACTATTGCATAGACCATCCACAGGCACGGGGGAATGACCAGTATACTGACCAAATTCCATCCTGGGGAACTGCTAGAGCTAGGGAAGCACTTTTCATGTACGTTGTTCTTCTGAGATAACACAGTTTTGACGTAAACAGTATTACTAAAAGGAAAATGTCCATCTTTCATAGGGCATTCCCTCACCAGTCCCAAATAATAAACCATGGAAAACTATTTTGTCACCAAACTAAGGTGTTTTGATTCAGATATGCCACAATGATGGCTCATTAGAGTTGTATATTCGTTTTTTTCTTCCCCTACCCTTTTCAGTAGGTGGGGCTGACTATTTCCCATTCTGCACCTTAACTACAGTCTCCCATTATGCTATTGCCTTATTTTTTCATGAGGGGAAGTAATGTCACACTTTGGAAGATTTAACCCAACAATGGAGAGCAACTGATACACAAAAATGAGGTTACAAGGCATCCAAACTACAATTACTATGCAGCAGCATGACAGCATTTTCAAATGAAAATGTTTTGGTTTGGAATTTTTTGCCAGAAAGTCTAAATTTGCCATGAAACAAAACTGGCCAGGTCTAAAACTAGATTCTTCCTTAAGGAAACTCCCATCTTTGCTTTTCATTGTAAATATTATTAGTTTGTCATTGTAGGCATTAACTTCCACTGCCAACAGTGTGCTTTGCCCCTATGAGAGGAACTGACACATTCCACCTCAGAGCTGCTTGCATTGTGTACTTTCTGAAGGAAACCTCTGACTTCCTTTTTATGACAGGATCTACACAATTACAAATCTCACTTCTGGCAGAGGAGCTATCTCCAGGCCTGACTTACGAGCTCAGGTAGACAGAGAAGAGGTCCTGGGACACCAAGTTTTGGCTCATCATGTTGTCAAAGACGGGGGTGGCTCCAGAGGAAGAAATGCTGGGGAAGGCCAGACCCAGGATCCCATCAAAGGGTGCATATTCAAGGAAGGTGCCGGGCTCAGTCTCACTCACGCCGAAGATCTGGTTGACCACCTGAATGCTTCCGACCTTGTGGGAGAGATGGGGAGGATAAGACACAAACCACCTCCTGGGAAGAGCTGTCCATTCCTTATGGGGCCTTGCAAGATGGGGAGTTCTCTGCCTTATCTCAGAAGCCACTATTTCCTCCATTCTGCTCTCCACAAAATAAGTATTTACTGTTTCTTGTTAAGGCAGAGAAGACCTTTCTGTTGTGTGGGTAACTTAAGTGCTCTAATATTCATGCACTTACTTGGATTCTCTTTAATTTGCTTTGGGGGGTGCTCCATGGGCTGTGATCCAAATTTTGGGTCCTTCTGAGCAAGAGACCCCAAGACACAGCTCTGTGAGAATGCAGCTTCAAAAGATTGTGCACCCCTTTCTAATCCTCCCTCAGGTGCTCCCTGTCAGTAGAGTTTATCTCAGTTGGTGTGTGGGACTCACTGCCTCTTTTGTGCTGGAGGCAGAATACCAAAAGCCATACTGGAGGAAAAAGTTAGCACTAGACTGAAATGTGCTAAACATACATGCCCCAGTGTGATTGTAGGATACGGTATCTGCATAAAGCAAATGTTGCAGATGGATAAAGCTGTTTCAGATAAGAACCAGGAGGCTATATAGTGTTGCAGGTTGGAAGAGGACAGGGAACAGAGGGAGGATAGTTAGCAGGGGCTTCAAAACAATGACAAGGACATGGTTCAGAGAACAGTATTCCTGGGAATGGGTGGCAGGGGAGGAGAAAGGAGTTTGGGGCTGTAGAAATGAAAGCAATAGGACACTAGAGCATGACAGCGAGTGGCAGAGACAGAGGGGAGAGACAGCTGATCCCCTGTGTCTGGGAGAATCAGAAGGGGAACTCTATTAACGGCTCTCTTCACTTCATCATATGAGTCTGGATCTGCAAGAGCCCTGAAGGGATCTTGACTTTAAACTTCTTAAAACCAGGAAATATAAATGAAGGTTCAATCCTTAGAAGGAAGAATGAGGGTCTAGTGGGAACTAGGTGGCTTGAGGCACAGTTGGGGAAGCCTCCAGGGGTACAGGATTCTATTTTGCAGCATGGGACCTGGCCCAGTCTATAGCTCAGGCTCCAGAATCAAGAAAGTGCCACAGTCTACTAGGATACTGCCTGTGATGGGTGTCCACAGCAGTAGAGGGCACTAGAAACAAGGAGTAGGGGTTTTACATGCTAAGGGGTTTCATAGTGCTAATGGTTTTACGGGCTGGCTTGACATTTTTCTGGGGAACTTGCAGAACATGGGGGCTGCAAAAGCTGGAGGGAAGTGTGCCCATCTTCCTGTATCTTTAAATTTACTGTAACCAACATGGCACACAACTCTTGGGATATGGAATAGTTGCCATGTCTGTGGTTTCTTTCCTGGCCCAGTCACCACAACTCCCTGCTCCTAATATGCCCTGTGCTTATGAGGGAAAAGGTAACTAAGTGGGCAAAAGTAGGCAAAGCACAATGATCCCTGGCTCTCTTTCTCCAACACTCATTCTCTGGCTTCATCCTGTCCCTACCCTCCCTCTCTGTCTCTGCCATTCTTTTGGTTCCACACCTCAGGTGCTCCTCACCAATCCCTATCCTTGGCTGAGGTACTTAAACCCTTCCTTATCATTTACCTCAACAGTGTCATAGGCCAGGAAACCAGTCATGCTGCCAGTGCCATACTGGATGGAGACGCTTTGGCTGGTGGCCTGGTATGTAGAGGAATCCTGTGGGTTGAATTGATTGTGATTGCCTGCAAGGAGAGAAGAATTGGATGATTACACACTGGTCCCTCCTGGAGCTAAGGACAAGGCAGTGTTAACTGCTGGAAGAACTGGGCGATGAGGGTGTTTAATATTTTCCCACCCAAGGCAGGCATGAAAACTTGTGCTCATGGTTACAGTCTCTGCTGAATGCTGCTCTGGGCACAATACACTGCCAGCACATTCTACAAGAAGGAAGTCTTTTCTATTGGGCTCTTTGATCTGGATTGGGCTTCTCACTCCTTGCTCTGCTGGGAGGAAGTTTCATCCTTGGCACCAAATGAGGCAGGTTTTCTAGTGTTACTGAATGGGGCCTTGTTACCTGCTTCATGTAGGTTGCAGATGGCCCTGCTTTGAGCAGGAGGTTGGACTAGATGACCTCCTGAGGTTCCTTCCAACCCTAATTTTCTATGATTCTGTAATTCTGTCAGAGAGATCACCACATGTGTGAGTTGCCAGGCACCCTCACCATTACACAAGGGCTGACAAAGTCTAAACTGCTTCACAGGCCCCCTCCATCACTACCAAATCAACTGATCAAGCTGCAGGCCTCCACCAGGATCTCACACCCTTCACAAAGCAGACAGCCCTGACCCAGGATACATCAGCACTCCCCACATGCTGGCTCATAGAAGTGGGCTTCCCAGCATGCCTGGAATGCCCATGGAGAATGTCATATTGGTCTCTCCCCATCTTACTCATGCTGATGGATCTTTTTTTGGGGGGGTCCAGCTGATATCAGTCACAGGCGCATGGCCTGGGGGTGATCTAGACAGACAGGACAAAACTGCAGCTCATCATCAAAGGATGCCTAGTTTTACTTGAGGATGACACCTGTTTCTGATCTCCACAGGAAACTCTCTTCTAGCTTGTTTCTGGAAAGTCCATGCCCTATAGGATACTGTAATATGGAACATGCTTGCATGGGGAAATGTCCCAGCACTGACCACCTTGGGCTGAGTTGGTCTTTGACGTGGCACAGCCTGTGGGAGCACAGTAGAGAGAGACAGTTCTCCAGAGGCTTTGCAAGTGACTTACTGCAGGCCGGGCTGGAGCAGTACACAGAGGGCACCCACAGGTTGGAGGAGCCAGTGTCAAAGAGCACGGTGAACTGCTGGGCTGGGGTGCCAATAGAGATGGTCCCATAATACTCCATCTGTAAAAGCAGGAGAGGCATATGTTAGTAGGAGGAAAACATTGCCATCCAGGAGTCATAGCCTCTACAGGGACAACCAGGAGTTTCTTCCCTATCTGATTTCTGCAGAGGCAGAAGAAGATCTTGGAGTCATTATTGATGCCAAAATGAACATGGGCTGACAGTGTGCAGACGCGGTCAGGAAGGCTAACCGTACCTTGTCATGCATCCACAGATGCATCTCGAGCAGGTCCAAGGAGGTGATCCTCCCCCTCTATGCGACACTGGTTAGGCTACAGTTGGAGTACTGCGTCCAGTTCTGGGCGCCACACTTCAGAAGGGATGTGGACAACATGGAGAGGGTCCAGACGAGGGCCACCTGCATGATCAGGAGTCAGCAGGGCAGGCCGTACGAGGAGAGGCTAAGGGACCTGAACCTGTTCAGCCTCCACAAGAGAAGGCTGAGGGGTGGATCTAGTGGCCATTTACAAACTAGTCACGAGGGACCAGCAGGCATTGGGAGAGTCCCTGTTCCCCTGAGCACTACCAGGAGTGACAAGAAATAACGGTCACAAGCTGGCAGAAGGTAGATTTAGACTAAGCATCAGGAGGCGCTACTTCACAGTCAGGGCGGCTAGGATCTGGAACCAACTTCCAAGGGAAGTGGTGATGGCTCCTACCCTGGGGGTCTTTAAGAGGAGGCTAGATGAACACCTTGCCGGGGTCATTTGACCCCAGTACTCTTTCCTGCCATGGCAGGGGGTCAGACTAGATGATCTGCTCAGGTCCCTCCCAACCCTACCAACTATGAAACTATGATTTACATTGTCTGGGGGTCTAAGGTAAGGAGTTTTTGATACGGACAAAGTCTGAGCTGCCATTTCTCTGGCACTGCATTGTCCAGATCTGTTTCTAGTAGTTGCTGACAGTCCAACACTGAGCACCATAGTCCCCATCAGGCTCTGCCTGTGTGAGTGCATGCTGAGAGTAGGTAAACCCAGCAAACTTGTGGGTGTTCTATGCTGAGTGCCTTACTTCTTCCCTTTCTAAATACCATGGGGCACATAGTACAGGGCTGGGCTTGTCCCTGGCTTGGTTGGAAGCACTCAGGTGAGGAAATGGGTTGAGGCAACTTCAGAAGTCAAAGAGATGAGGGGTTATCAGAAGATTGGAGAGGCTGTACAGAGTCAGGGAGAACTGAACAGTTGCAGGAAGGCTTGTGGCATTTTGGAGTCTGGAGCTGGGCACCAGCAGGCTCACTGGTTCACAGGAATGGATGGGAGTAAAGATGAATGTACCAGAATTTGTCTTCCAAGAAGAGAAGTTGACTCATTCAAGCAACTTCCATGCCAACATGGGATGCTGTCCTAGTCTGCCACTTGCTGCCTATAGCTGGCAAGAGGGGCTGAATAGTGCAGCCATACAGCTTTGCCATACTCACATCCATGTAGTTTGTCATGGGCTCAGTGGCATCCTCACTGATGATGTTGGGAAAATACTTGGAGCCCAGGTTGCGTGGATGATTCTTCAGATAATCTTGAAGCTTGCCATGTTCCTTAAGACTCTGCCTCATGGATTTCCCTTTCCTCAGGGGGACCCTAAAGAACAAGGGAACAGAGAGAAACAGCTCAGTCCCTAACATCCCACTTACCTAGAGAGGACAGAGGGGCAGTGACTTGTACAAAGATATACCAAGAGCCTCTGGGGAGTTGGGATCAGAGTCCCCAGTGTCTGGGGCACAACCTCATCCTTCCTCAAGTACAGTGCTTTGCAAGGCTAAGGGATAATGTCCCATCTACTACCCATTCAAGGATGGATAATAGATCAGAGGGAGAGAGAAGATGTTTTATGAGTTCCTATATTCCTGTAGTGCTGGGCAGAGAGCTGAGCCAGCAGCCCACAGTCAGGCTTCCCCAATACTCACTTTGTCACCAGGCATTGGGACAGTGCCACCAAGCTCAGGAACAGAAGCCACTTCATGATGCGTCTTCCTGCCCAACCCACTGGTAAAGCAAGGAGTGAGTGCACTGACTTGTGTGCTGCTCCTTATATACCATTATGGCAGAGCCTTTCTTATCTTATTAATAGCTCCGATAAGAAATGAAAACCTTCCCCATAGTTGCTATCAGAAAGTCCGGAAGGGAAACATTGGGAGAAATAATGAAAGTTATCAATTTCCAGCTTCACAGGGCCTGAAAAAAATGGGGCACCAATCAGTGAGGAGGAGGTAAATTTCCTGGATGTTTTCTGTGTATGCTTCATAAAATAAAGCCTCTGCTTAGCTTTAAATAACAACATGGAAGGCACATAGGTTTTGGAATGGGAGATGGAAATGTTTAGATCTCAGTTTTGATTATTTTATTGTATATCATAGAGCATAGGAGCCATACTCTTGTACCAGCACCTGTGGTACAAGGCACTGCACAAAGAAGAAATAAAAAGATTATTCACATGCATACAACAAAAATGACATTTATATGTAGAGAGATACCTCAGTGGGATTGGGGAATTGGATCAGGACCCTCCACAATTTCAATACTAATTTCAGTGCAGCTGTGGATTGAAGAATGGGTTTCATGATGGGCATTGGAACTGGACTATCTAGGTTTTCCCTGGTGTTACACTGGACCCAAGTCAGGAGATGTATGAAGGCATAGGACTGGGAATAGAAAGCAGGGTATCCTTTAGTCATAGTAACTGTTTTTTTGAAGTGCAGTAGCTATAATTTTCCCAATTAAATGAAGAAGTCTCTCTCACCTGGCAGTTCCTGGAGTGAATATGTGGGCTGCCTCTTCCCACTCTAGATGAGGGTTAGGGAGGATGATGCTTGAGGACTTGTTTTGGGAGTTATGGTGGATGAGTGAAATGAGACTGCCCTCAGTGTTTGAGAGCAGATCATAAGTTTTGGTTCTGAGTGAGAAATCTAAAGGGTTGGTGAGTTATGGAGGTCAGATCTGGAGGGGAAAAGAGATGGAGATTTCCAGCCCTCCTTGGAGAGAGGGGAAGTCATTAGCAATGCGTAGGGGGTGCACACAGGTGCATGTGCACCCCCTGAGATTGGCCGTCCACCCCCTGAAAACCCATCACTGCTGGGGGACCCCCCCCCCCCACCCGCG